AGCACCTATTTGCAGGTATCAAGAGATCGAAATATGCTACACCTTAGAAACTTGGGATTACTATAAAGAATATATATGCGCACACAATGCAAAAGAAATTAAAGAAATAGCTTGAGAACTGACCCCAGGAAAGTGTTTTGACTCATTGACTAGTGTGACTCATTGACCGGTGAATGACTGTATGCAAGTCCAGTGTCAACGAGAGATATTTGCTTGTACTACGAGAAGGAATTGGGGTAGTTGGGTAGTGTGTACGTAGTGACACATGGAACATAAGAAGCAAGAGAACAGTGAGCCATGTAGAGGCAGTTCCAAATAGTAGAAGCCAGGGCGAGGCCCAGATCGATCCTAACATTTCCTCAACCTGAGATCACAAAAAACGGAGTGGGTCATCGACGAGAAGGTTGTTGAGCAGCTCTGAGCTTCATTGGAAGAGGATAGCCGAACAACCACACGCTGGGCGCAACCTATCAGACGATCGATGTATGTGAGGTTTGCCTGTGGCCACTGGCGAAGACTGAATCCACGAGCTTGGCACTTGTTGTACTTCCTTCGCGAATCGACACATGAAGGGGCACGAGTGGCCAAGTTGTGCAAGTCATGGTGCGATCAGTAATTGGGGATTGCACTGGTGTTGTAGAACCAGAACTTGAGTAACGAAGGAGGTCGGTCAGCCAGGCGCAAAGACCACATAGATGCAAGATTGAGACGCCGGTGAAGGTAGAAGGGTATTCCCAATGAATGAATAATGCAAGGCTGATAACTCACCGAAGGAGTTATCCCCACTCTCCAGCTCTCCAGATCAAGCTTGCGCTTATGATCAGGCTCCGTGGCTGCTGGCAAAGAGGTGATGCTAGATCCACGAGCTCTGCAGAGGAGGCTTAGCTAGGTGGATTCCACCATGGCCATACCCCCTTCGCTGGCTGATGCACGAGGGGGGTGCAAATGGTGGACGCCAAAGACGATGTGATCACGGAAGTCGGGAGAGTTGGAGTTTGCCAGTGTTGTGAAGTCAGAACCAGAGTAACAGACGAAGGCAATCAGTCGAGCGCAAAACGTCAAGAGGATTTGGAAGCCAAAGCAGCCTGGAGAAAAAGCACAAAGGAGGAGATTCACTAACTCACTGAAGTTAAAACGTCCGTTCTCCCCCTCCCCAGCTCTCAAGCCTGAGCTCGCGCTGGCGTCACTTCCTTCTGAATGACGTGAACCAGGCAGACAGCCATGGCGTATGGAGCTTCTTGAGAGCATATTGGCGTTGCCGAGCTGGGCATGGTTAAAGACGTCAGCCAGGTCACTGCAATGGAGATGATGGTTAGGGTTGGCGCTGTCGAATACGGCTGGAGAAAATTGACTTTGAATTTAAGGTAATGGAGTCTCCTCTATCTGTATACAAAGTGGTTACGATCGGCTAGCTGGGTCGGTTTTTGCAGATGGAAGGCAGAGCAAAAAGGTCGTGAGGTTGCAAAGCTCCTGCCGCCACCTGCCGCCACCATGCATATACGCAGCTCGAGCCTGTCCAAGGTGTTCCCTTGCCTTCTGAGCACTAGGGGAGTTAATCAAACCTAAGAGGTCGAACGGCTGATGGTGATGCATCTGGGAGATATGTCGTCTATCGATGAGAGGTTTGAGAGTGCACACTTTCCCTAGTCTGGGGACAGTGTCTGCTAAGAGTGGTGTTTCTTGCGTGGTCTGAGAGACCTGGTTACCTGGTTGGAGGAAGGATGATCGAAGGAGCCAAGTAGCGATTGAGGAGTATGAGCCGAAAGAGACGCATGTTGGCAGTTTATCTACAGTCATTCACCGGTCAATGAGTCACACTAGTCAATGAGTCAAAACACTTTCCTGGGGTCAGTTCTCAAGCTATTTCTTTAATTTCTTTTGCATTGTGTGCGCATATATATTCTTTATAGTAATCCCAAGTTTCTAAGGTGTAGCATATTTCGATCTCTTGATACCTGCAAATAGGTGCTCATTCACCATAAAACTGAATATATATCTGTGTGATCTTGGCACTAAATCTTGGAAAAGAGCCTTTTAAAAAAAATGATATCTTAAAGCATTCAACAAGTATTCAATTACAAGAGTTTTGAGTTGAGCTGGTACTCCAGTGAACCAAAAACCACTGGAATGAACAAAATCATGCTTGAAGGTAGGGAAGGTCACATTCTGTCACACTTGCCACAGACATCTGACGAAGAGATGGGAAACTGAAGTGACTAAGCAAAATGCCCAAATTAGGGCAGCGTGACATCTGCCTCATTGACTGGTTTCGCACTGATCTTCGTTTGCGGCACTGATAGCATGCGATATGTTGTTCAACAACTTGAATTTGAGTTTGTAACTAGATATTACATAGGGCATGATGTATGTGCATACTTCCCTCAGTTCATAATGTTCATATCGCTCGTATTTAAACTTTCCAAGGCCATTCTTTATTTGGGTGCCTCATTGACCGGTGAATGACTGTACAGGGGTCAATGATCTGCTGAATCGAGGTGACGTCAGCCAAACAGTACAAACCGGAAATCGGACTTCGGCAACACTAATTTCGTGTATTTAAATATTTGCTGTATTTAAATACCTTCGTCCGTTCTCCATCCTTCACAAGACGCTAAAGTTATGTCATTCAGCGAACACTGCTTTCTTACCGTTCGCCGCCGTCCTCTTTTATATTCTGTCCTCGACGCTGGACGCGATGGCTTCTTCAATTACCACTGCCGTTTCGCCTACCCGTCGTTTGCCTTCGCCAATTATTGTGCCTGCCTACAAGCAAAGCCTCCTCTCAACCCACAGCAGCATGCTGTCACACCATCACCAACCGAGATGGTGACGACAACAGCAATGAGCAACCTCAGATTTCATGGTGACCAGTGAGGTGGAGGTAGAAACCGGGCCTGCTGGTCAAGATAGTTATTTTACCAGAACGACGGTGACAAAGTCGGTGACGACTGAAACGGTGCAACCAAGCAGTGACGAAGTCCACTTTGGTCCGCCCCCGCCCTCTCCTCCTGCCAGCGTTGAAAGAGACGATCTGGAGCCTCCTCCCAGTCGTCTACTACCCACGTCACATTCAGATTCCGTCATTCGCCAGTCCTCCACTACCGCCCGAGAACGTGAACGTCAAGCATCATCCACGTCTTCCCGACTAACAGTCAGGTCGCCGACATTCGACAATACCCTCCACAGGTCGTCAACCGACACCAAAGGCTCACTTCCAACCCTCCGTTACGCCTCCCCCCACACCGCCACCAACGAATCATCATCAAAATCAGCAGCATACGATCCATACCTCCAGCCTCCGGTCGCCATCATCCCCATGCGTCCAACCCGTCGAAACACAACAGGCTCAAGCCCCGTTGCAGCAAGCTTCAACAAACGCTCTCACCACCAAACACACACCCGACAATTCGGGTCGTCGTCGCATGAGGATGCGTCGTATATCGGTGAAGTGGGGATAGAGCTCGCGTCGGATATTGAGATTGCGGCGGAGCAGATTAGGAGGGAGAGGATGGAGAAGAGGGCGAAGCAGCAGCTGCAGCAGGAGCCGGAGGCGGCGCTTACGCGTGCTGAGACGAGGCCCAAGTCCGAGCAGGATATGCCGCTTGTGGGCAACCTTATTGGGGAGGATCATGTGAATTATGTGTTGATGTATAATATGTTGACGGGTATACGTATCGGGGTGGGTTTTCTTTTTTTCTTTATTCATGATACACGCTGAATGAAGTCGTGCAGGTTTCTCGATGTCAAGCTAAAATAAAACGACCACTGACGATAGAAGACTTTACCGCGCGTCACAAGTTTTCATTCGATATCGTCGGAAACGAGCTGACTCCGTCTGCAAAATACGATTTCAAGTTCAAGGATTACGCGCCTTGGGTATTTCGCACACTTCGAGAAGACATATTCCATCTAGACCCAGCAGACTACCTCCTCTCCCTCACCGCGAAAAGTGGAAAATTGCTCGGTACTAGGAGGTCCTCTTGTCCTTTGGCCCACGAGCCTGGTCCACGCCAGGAACTCCGGAGACGGAAAAAGAATTCGCAGCACGTCGATTCACAGCCCTTTGACTGAGGGCGGTGGTCTTAGAGGGACAGGCAGCAATTGTGATTACCCACTGGGGCGACGAGGTTCCTTGGGTGGGTGAGGAGGTTGGGCGTTTTAGGATTTGGGAGGGGGGTGGTGGCGTTGTTGGATGTCCATCACCTTGTCTTCAATACCTCACCTATACCCCTCCACTGACTCCGGCCTCGTGCACTTGAGGTTCCTCCATGGTAGTCTTCTATCGTTCTACCTGCGACAGCACTACCCCACCATACCACCTCTGCACACTCCTCTCCCCCTCAATCGCGTTCCCGAAACCCATAGAGGCGCCCCCATCCATTCAGGACACCGTGTCGTATCGTATCGAACTCGACCAGCCGTTGCCTCTCTCCTTTCTCCTTTCAACGGTGCCGATTCGCCCTTCCTCCGCAAAACCTCTGAGCCAATCCAGCATGTATGGAATCAACGTAATCCTCTGCACCGCTCGGTACACTTCAAGCTCTTTCTTTTGGCGAGTCACCGTGACCCTGGCAGGAGAGACAAGATCGAAGAGAAATCGGGTGAGCGATTGGGGTGCTGTGAACGTTCAGCGCTCAACGCTCAATAGTCACCCTCCTTCCTCCACACTGAGAAAGACTCGTTTGTCCACGATGTCCGCTCGTGGACATTGGACAACGACGAGAACCTCGCTTTCAAGAGCCCCGGTCCGTCGCTTTTACAACGCGCTGAGACGAGGAGGCTATGTATATGTGGCACCTAGATGGCCTTCCCAATGATCGACTTAATCTAGGAAGACGGCTAAAGGGACAAGAACGTAGTGGAGTTCTGCAGCGAGAATAGGTAGAGGGGAAGTTGAGATGGGGAGGTAGGAGGCAACACGCCGCTGCTGAAAACGGTTGGGACGCAAAGAATCACGGAGGAGGGCTGTGACGGTCGGTTTGGCGAGGAGGCAGGAAAACGTGGGTGTCCGGGGAATACACTAGGATTTTTATAGAACCAACTGTGTAAAACAGTCGATCACTACCACGGGTTTAGAATAGGGAAGAATGGGACTCACTTGACATTCTAACCAACTTAACGGCCAAGACGAGGACTCGACGGAGCAGATATATCGGCACTTGAACACGACCCGCTGAGCTACCGCGCAGCACCTCTGGCCTTGAAAAAGGTTTACAGGTATGAACACAGGTATTCAAACGAAGGCGAACTCACTTACCTCAAAAATAGGGCCACACAGCCCAGGCTGCAGGTGCATAAGGTAAATAAAAATAGACCAAAACACAGGATTAAACTATCCAGAAACCCTGGTTTCCCCTGAACAACCCAGGGTTTCCAAAGTGCTTGCGTAGAAACCTTGTTTCCACAAGAAGCGGAGCTCAGAATATTTGAAGTCCACCACATGCACATGCATAAGTTCAAGTTGGCAGCGGGGGTCATCAACCTTTCAAGTAGCAAGGGACTATGGAAGGGAACAGTGGCATCCCTAAACCACTCCCGCTCTCCTACATCTATGTAAGTATAGCTACCCGTCCAAACCCTCATCTTGTTTGCATCTTGTAGCATTGTGTAGACCATGAACCAATATTATTTACCGTGGTAACCACTTGTCGAGTGGGCGCGTCGCATCGCGCGACGATACGTGTGCGACAAGGGATGTGCATGATGGAGTTCAACTCGTCGCGCTCTCTTCTCATCATGACCCGGGGAGCCAAGATCAATTTAAATTTGAGTGTGACACACGTTGGCATCTAGGAATTTAACTCCGACATGGGGTTCCTCAAAATAACCCATTGACTGATGGAAGGGGGATTTCTACCAAATGCAGAAGAAACCCAGGGTTCCACGCGAAAAGGGGGTTTCTGGTTAGATTGATCCCATCATCACAAGTGCCGGCATCGAACACCATGAATACGAACAAGCGCAAGAAAACATCTGGACTTATGGGATCGGAACTGAGGATGGCCTACCAATTGCTCATGAGTGTCAAACTTATCATCGCTGGAGACGGCTTCCGCGACAAACAAAGTGGATGCCTCTGACGATTTCCAGTTGCAAGAGAACCAAATTACCTTTGAGCCGGATTTCGAGGAAACCCTGGCCAAAATGCTCGCGATGATGCAGTCGAAGCTTGACCGTGACAGGCCCCCTGCTAGTAAACATGTTGATCTTCCTTATAGTCTCTTACAGGCCCTTCCTTCCTCTGGCATGGCAGAAGAAGCTTTGTCCATGTTGAATATTAAACTTGGTGGTTCGCTCAAGCTGAAAAGGGATTACAAAGTTCGGGTGGCCGCGACGGAGCGACTCGGAATTACTAGTCTCTCCTAGACAGACACCTCCAGTTATACCTCTTTCCGTATTACTGAACATTGGTCTTCCGAGGGGCTGTATCGTCACTGACTGGTAGCTACCACTTACATCATGTACTCCTGAGCTGTACCATAGAAGTTCCTGCTTAGCTACCGTGAATGAAATGAAATGAATTTTCATTCATTCACGGCACCTGTTTCATTCTAGATAATTTATTCTGTTTCATTCATTCCTGGCGACTGTTTCCTTTTTTTCTTTCATTCCACCAGGGCAACTGTTTCATTCCTTGCTTCATTCTTCTCAGGTGCCTATTTCATTGTTAGAGCTGGGAAAATGATTATGTAATTGATACAAAATATTTAAGTGCCTTATTTGGCAACAGCATGCCTATCTCATTGTGTATTTGAGCCTCAAATGCAAAAGTACCCCCATATGGCCTCCCACACCACTGCAGTAGGGCACAACACATATCAGGCATAATTGTATATTATTTCCTTATTTAGATGTGTGTTAAAACATCGAAATTGTTGCCTGAAAGAATGAAACAAAAATGAAATAACTGCCTGGAAAGAATGAAATGAAAATTCCATGGCAATGAATGAATGAAAAAAATGAAACAGTTGCCAGGAATGAATGAAACGAAAGAATAAAGCAAAAAATGAAACAGTTGCCATGGTGGAATGAAATTAAAAAAATGAAAGAGTCGCCAGGCATGAATGAAACAGAATAAATTGCATTCTTGTCAGTAGAAATGAAGAAAAAATTGAGATGAAATGAAATGAAACAAAAAGTATTTCATTCTCAACGGCAATGAATGAGAATGACTTGGAATGAAACAGGTGCCATGAATGAATGAAAATTCATTTCATTTCATTCACGGTAGTTAAGCAGGAACTTCTATGGTACATGCCAGGTTTTACATGATGTAAATGGCAGCTACTAGTGCGTCACCTCTGTGGGCTGCAAAAGCTCGTCCCGAGAGCGGTGAGCGTACATGTTGTGCGATATATACCGGGCAAATATCTCATGTTGGATTCATCAGAATAAAGCAGCCTCGCGTGCCACCTGCAATGGTGCCACAAGGCAGGTAGTTGGTTCTCAGCGTAGAGCCGAGCGTCCCAGCAACAACTAACAAACCTTTTAGTTTCGGAGGTTACATAGACTCCACTGCCATCGGAAGCACATCGGGCGCAGGTGAATTTCTTCGACAATCATTATTCCCCTTGCTTATTTTTCTGCAGAAAAGTCTTTGGCCAGGCCACTGCGTCTGGGGGTACCACAAGACTTCGACCATACTCTTTTTATTTCAGAAGCCAAGGCAAGCAATATTCCACTCGAGAACCATGTCCCTCCAGCCGTATGTGAAATGTACGCTTGTGCAAAACAACTTGGGTCGGAGGCTTGTTCTTTTCATTTTCCATTGAATTAATTCACGGTAGAAAAAACATCATTCATGGAGCTGTGACCAATGGCCACAACTGGATTTTCCTTGTCCTTAATATGAACTCTAATGGTGATGGCGCCATATATGCTCAGTCTTTGCAACAGACTTGGCTCATGGCCGTAGTTCCTCCTGGTGATGAAGAAATCTCACGCACAATGTGTGATGTGATCACTGGAATCATCGGATATTGGGTAATTCCCCGTATTCTCCTCTGTGTCATTGCCCTCATCCAAGACTTTTGTTTCTGGTATGGTCATAGATAGAGCATAGCAACGAAGATGCTGGAGATGATGACTGGTTCCGTGTGGAGTGGAAGTAGGTAGCATGCTGGTAAGTATTTTGGAATGATCGATCTCTGGCTTCAAGCTCAATGTCCTACCTGGACTGAACAGATCAGAGTTGAAGGACTGGACTGAGTGATTCAGGTCAGGGTGGAATCCGGGAAGGGGACAGAGGGTTCTTGAATATGGGGTTCCAGTCCGCCCAATATCAGGAAACACAACGGGACATGAATCTTTGTAGTATGAACCTCAGAAAGAGTATTTGGTCTCGATCAAGTGCGCATTTGTCTCATGCACACACCACCCAACTACCCCGCCCTGCTCGTAGACTTAAAAGCACTTTATCATATCATGTATCTCGTTGACATTGAACTCAGCATACATACTACATAGGTTCACCAGCGGCATCCATTACCATATCATCTCCTAGATACCCCTTCATCTTTACTATGTTTCTAAGTTGTGTCCCTTGTGTGTCCCTCGACCGTGGCAGGCCTATCACCAAGTTCTTGTGGGATAAACAAGCAGCTGCTTGGGATATCTCCATACTTACTGAGCAAAGTGACGATGTGGCAGACAGATCGGATATTCTGCATAAAGATATTCACTAGATAATGATGAAAAGAACAAGAGCGAGAATAGCAGGGCTGCAATTTCCGCACTTGATGCCATTGGTGTGACGGCCTGTGGATGATGGGGCTGGTTGTGTGAGTATTGTGAGGAATTGAGCAGAGTCGTCTTCCCCATGCCCGACTCTCCCATCAAAGCAATAAGCTTTCCAGGGGCCACATGGCCCGATACGTCGGAAACCAACAACCTGACAAGGTACTTCCAGTCGATGCAGAAAGACAACGATACCACAATCATGGGCAGGGAGATAGGTGCTTCAGGCACTTTTCAATGAGAAGTACACTTCGTTTCGCAGATGGACACTCCGATATTAACTCTACTTCATGAGCAAACCGACCCCACGAAACCAGACGAGATCACCGACGGCGATGACGGGCAATAGGTTCTCAGGAAGTCAGAGGGCTTAGGCGACATCAGCAGAGGGGATTGGCGTGAGAAGCGCCAATGAACACTCTGGCAGTCTATTCAAAACATCATGTTGGTTAGTTACATACACACAGCGAGGAGTTAATGTCCGGCGTACATTCCTATGCAAAACAAAGAACATTTCTCAGGAAGCCACTTGGTCAATGATGAAGAAACTCGGAGGGGTCTCGTAGACAATATGTCTGGAAAGAACGTTGACCACGGAGTGTTGGCATAAGCGGAGGCTTGATTCGTGGCGAAGGCATGCGTTCTGGGAAGTGGAAAAATCAGGCTAATGTCCTAATAGGACGAAGCCCATGTGAGGGCGGAGGGACGTGTTCAAAAGGGGGATGTGGGGGTGACGATACGACAGTGAGGGGAGGGAAGCGAGATAGTCGATGATAGACATTCCGATATTAGGTCTGAAGGATGACTTGGAATGCGATGGGGTGAAGGCCGTTGTGCAGAAGAACCTAATAAAGTAAATGGAGCAATGAGCAGCCATAATCGGCAGCTTTGAGATTAATTTTATTGCACTTGCACGACGCCAATGGAAGTGAATTAGCATAAGAAGAGGGTTTCCCGCCTCCCCCAGGCGCACGGCAATGACGACTTCTTAATTGTAAGTGGAGGGATGCTAGACGATCAAAAGGGGTGGAGTAATCCAGGAAAAGTTGTGTGGCTTGGGAAGACTATGCAGAAGGGCAAAGGCTTCTGCCACCCTTTGAGCTCATAGCTTTTGTGAAAACCTCTATGCGACATCAGAATTACGGCCGTTAGAATGTGAAAATGACACGTACACCACAAGTCCCCATCAGACGCCACTGTCTAACCAACTCCACTTTTTACGAGTCCCTACGGCAGGAGCGTAAACACATTCGGGGGAGTTGAGGCATGCACATCGGCCAGAGATTGTGGTATAATACCAACTCGCATAATTGGGAGATTGTTGGTACCCGGGTTGGCTAGAAATGAGAAAATTGGCGGCGTTGGCTTTGAGTAAAACATGAGGAGATTGGGGTACTGCATGCAGCCTGTCATTGCCCGAAGTTTTGATGGAAATGCGCCCCCAGAAAGCTGCTGCAATGTTGTCAAGAATTTCGCATGACAGAAGCAATTCTCGTACTCACCACTTCACTTGTCGTATACCTCTTCCGCTTGACATTTTCTTGAACTTCACCCAACCCCTGATATCGGCCATGTCGAACATGGATTTGTGGGTCAGTTGCCTGTGGTTACTGTACGAGAAAAGCCATTTGACGGGATGATGTGTCAGGCCAGTTTGGAGGGCATAATTCGTGCACTAGGGTCTAATGCCTGGCGGCCAAGAACCCGCCATTCAGTGTATGTGCATTGGTATGTAGTAACGGAATTTCTGAGCTCGTAAACATCGAGGCTGTTGGGGTAATGCTGAGTTGAAAGAGCACCTGAGGTGGATTGAAGTGAACATTAAGAATCAGATGTGAAAATTACAGTTAGGCATACCTTTATTCCAGGAAGAATCCCCTCAAGTTAAAGTTTCAGTGAGACTTGGGTGAGACAGCAGCAGCAGACGAACACACAAGTAGCGAACTCACGGTGGTTGAGATCAAGTTTGGCTGATGTCTCTCCCAATCACCTTCACTGAAATACCAACATGCTGAAAATTCTTTATTCATAAATTTCGTGTATACTATGGTGCCGGTTAGTCTCGACACCAGCCGTTATTGGGATCGTATTACTCACCATAACGTCTGGAAGGGATTGATCATGATGCAACCGACAAAATTTCGGACTCCGATTATCGTTGCAATGAGGAAACTCTCCTTACAGTGTTTTGCATATTGTTGATTTTCGTGAGCACTATTCGGTTGTGACATGACCTTTTTGGTCACTGAAAGGTCCGTTGTCTGGAATCTGGCCCATTCCTCGAAGAATCTGAACATATATCATTACACTAAACATTATGGCACCTTGGCTAGAAGTGTTCTGGACACGGAAAAACGAAGACGGCATGAATTCAGGGTTTGGGACATACCAAAAACGTCACATCACAACACGACCAAATAGCACTCACGAAAATTCGTTGTGCAAAACAATATGCAAAACACTGTAACACATCCTCAATTCAAGTGCTCGCAATGCGTTCACGAGTCCTTCGATACTCAAAACTTACAGCAACGAACTTATGCGTTCACCCGAGACTTGTCTGGGATTCGGGGATGACGCTGGTGTCCGTTTTACCACCAAACTGAGCACTCACCATTTGCTCACCATGCCCCCCGTTTCGAAAGTTCGAAAATACAAACCAGAAGAAGTGGACTGAAACCAACTTGCTGCAAGGGCGTACAAAATTTGGCATAAAAAGCCATTTTCATGGCAATTAGATGCTTCCGAAGCGATATTGTGTGGGCAGGATGTTGTCATTGACATGGGGACTGGAAGTGGGAAAATGTTATGCTTTTCCTTACCATTGTGGTTGATGAGGACAGTATTGTCCTCACCATTTTGCCTCTCACTGCACTGATGATAAACCAGGTAAGTGTCAAGAGATCTATAGGTCACCGTATTGGTGATCACATTTTGCTGTGATCTTTTAAAATATCTAGGCAGACACAGTGGGCATTGCTACAGTTGCCGTATGCAAGGAGACATTATCTCATGTGGGTTCTGATAAATTATATGCAGTAAGTGTCGTTTTTTTCATTCAAAAACAAAGTGATTTACACTGCAAACATTCCAACATACTGACATGAGAATATTTTGAGAGTATTTTGATGGTACATAATTTTTTCCCAAAATACCATCCACCAGGTATGTGATTGGTATGAAGATATATATTTTATTACCCATGCTGAAGTATCTGATTAGTATTTTGATTGTATTCAAATGTTTTTCCTCAATACTGGCTCACATACTAGAATAATACTTCTATCACAGTATCTTAACTTTGAACAAAATATCTTCAACATACTGATTGGCCAATATTTTAAGAGTATGATTCTTCAGGATAAGATACTTTAAAAATATTATATATAATATTCAAAAGATACTTATATGATACTAGAGAGTAGATATAAAGGGAATATCTTGAAAGTATGAAAATATATCGCATTTTCATATTAAATACTAACACAATATTAAGCAGATATTCATTAAAGATGACCAACATACTGAGATGCCAGTATTGTGTTAGTATCAAGAACAAACAAACAATACTGCCTGACAGGTATTTTGTTGGTATGGAAAAGGTATGAGAGTGAAATATCTATATACTCTTCAAATATTGCAGGCAGAGTATCCAAATAGTATGCTACAATATTTTATCATACTGTTTGAAAGGTACATTTCATACTTTTATAATAAAAGCATAATACTGGTGTATGGAAATTCAAAAAGTATGTGAAGGGTATGACATTGAACAGAATTTTAAAATCAACAATTTTAATGTGAGGATTCAATACTAGATGAGAAGTAATGAAGATATATCATAATATTATACAATATAATATCATGTCAGTATCAGAAGGGTATACAAATTTCAATTTGGTAATTTTGAGGTGGGGATTAAATACTAGTTGAATACTTGAAGAGGAGTATTGAAAGCATATCATAATACTACACAATATAATATGAGAATGGTATCAGATAGGTATAGTAATACAAAATGAATAGTTTTAATGTGAGGATTAAATACTAGTTAAATACTAGAAGAGGAGTATTGGAAGTATATCATGATAGTGTATAATATAATATGAGAATGGTATAAAATGGGTATACTAACTCCAATGATAAGAAGAATTGTACTTATATGAGAGTATAGTGTGGATATAGAGATTGGTATGAGAGTGGATGACTTTCTGTAAGGTTTTTAATCCTACATATCATATTTTGGAGATTGAATGTCAGTTTAGTCATTTAATCTATTCAAGCTGACATTCCGCAAGCTATTTATCATTCTGTTCCCAATATTTTGTGCTGCATGGTACCCTGAAGTTAATTACAATGTTTACAGTGTCTGATGTAGACAGGCTATCATGTACTATACAATTGCTATACAACAGAAGGTTGTTTCAGCCAATGAGGGGAGGGGATGAGGCCAAGATTGGCTTGGGAACATTGTAGCGAGTTTAATCTATGAAGAGGGGTCTGACCCTATGAACAGATTAAGGTTTATTGAGACGTGAAAACAGGCACGAAGGATATTTTTTGTCCACATTTGGCCCCGGCAACACGGCAACAGAGCCAAGATATCAAGAAATAATCTATTTCCCTGAATAAAAGCTTACAGAAAGTCATCCAGTAATAGAATAGTATGATTGAAGTATGATAATAATACCTTGCTTGTTTGAACAATGAGAGAGTATCGAAATGTTTTTTATGATAGGAGATATCATCATACTAGACAGAGTATTGAGTATAAATTGTATACATGTATCTATCCATGTATAATTGTATAATTGTATTCATGTATATGTATCCATATATACTATTCATGTATTCACATATACACATATACTTGTATTCTTGTATTCAGGTATCTATGTATACACATATTCTTGTATCCTTGTATTCAGGTATTCACATATATGTGTATCCTTGTATTTAGGTACCTAGATATGTATCCACATATACATATATTCTTGTATCCTTGTATTCAGGTATCCACATATACACATATTCTTGTATCCTTGTATCCATGTAGACAAGTATTCTTGTATTCATGTATTCATGTATTCATGTATCCTTGTATCCATGTAGACAAGTATTCTTGTATTCATGTATTCATGTATCCATAGTGTATGTCATGGTTCTGTGCCACATATGTGTATCCTTGTATTTAGGTATCCACATATACATGTATCCTTGTATTCATGTATCCATGTATACATATATTCTTGTATCCTTATATTCAGGTATCCACATATACACATATTCTTGTATCCTTGTATCCATGTATTCATGTATTCATGTATTCATATATTCATGTATTCATGTATTCATGTATTCATGTATTCATGTATCCATAGTGTATGTCATGGTTCTGTGCCACATGGTTGTTGTGTCAGTTCAGCTAGGTGTGTGTGAGCAGAGTTGTGAGCCAAGCTAGGAAGCATATGTTGTATGGGATCAAAGAAGTTCAATATATCAGTAATTTGATGTATGCATATAGGAAGAGAAACCTAGAATAAAATGGAATGAGTAAATTGACAATCCATGATGTTGTTAAAACCTTAAATGGGTGAAGGGGCTTGGCTATGGTTAAACATTTGGAGTAAAAGCCAAATAAAGAAAGCACTCCCCTCAGGCCTCAGGTCATGTGCCACCTATTCTGTGGTAACAGGTTGAGCTAAGCATGTATAAGTGCTCGGCAACTCTCCCCCACATCAGTCTCAGCTCAGGTCTTGTGACTCACAAAATTGACAAGTCTGGTTGTGGAGGCTCTTGACAGCACTTGTGAAGCTGCAATTACCACTGGCTCCACAATAACTGCCAGCTCCAGTCATGAAGCTGAACAGAGATGCTGCATCATCAAGTAAACAAGGCTACCTGCCTCACAAAATAACCACTCCCCTGTCCAATTCAAAGTTGAAATATTATTCTCAATGTACCTTGAATGACATCTCATAACTCTACATCCATATTAATTCATGTAAGTCATGTACAAAGAGTGTGATAGGCAGCTACAGTACTCCCATAGAGTTTAGAAACCTAGATTATCTTCTAGATGTTTGATGGATGGGGTTTGAAAATATATTCAGCCAGCTTTCTAAACAGTACAAATCTACACAAGCATAATCAATTTTTTTTGTGGAAGCAGATCTTGTTCAAATTCAGGATTCCCCACTTGAGCTCATTATTGTATATGTGGTATCCCTGTATACATGTGTATTCATGTATCCACATATATGTGTATTCTTGTATTCATGTATTCATGTATCCATGTATACATGTATCCATGTATCCATGTATCCACATATTCTTGTATTTATGTATACATATTCATGTATCCACATATATGTGATGTATACACATATCCATGTCATGTATACATGTATTCATCAAGAATATGCATATATGTTGGATACATGAATACATAGCTATGTGTATACAAGGATACCCACATACATGGATACCTGCATACAAGAATATGCATATACATGGATACATGGATACATGCATATATGGATACAAGGATACACATATTCATGGATGCAAGAATATACATATACATGGATATACATATTCATGGATACAAGAATACACATATATGTGGATACATAAATACAAGAATAGATAAGATACATGAATACATGTATCCTATTCATGAATGCAAGAATACACATATATATAAATACAAGAATACACAAACAGACATATGTTTGTATTCACGTATCCACATATACATGTATTCTTGTATTTATGTATCCATGTATACATGTATCCTTGTATTCATGTATCCATATATATGCATATTCTGTATCCATGTAGTTGTGTTCTGCTCATACCATGACATTTGCATGAGCTTAGAGTCTGTGCCCTCTACTTCTGACACTTAGAAGTTAGTACTGACTTTGTATTGACTTGAATGAGTGGTGTTTGGCAAGCAAGGTGCAACCAAACAACTTGAACTGAACTCATGTGCAAGTTATACTAACTCACTGGCATTGGAACATTGTAAAATAGTGTAGAATATCCCTTGTATATAAATACTGCCTCTTTGAATGCAAGAGAGGCATCTCTTAACTTTACCCCACTTTATCTCTCATATTTGAGAACTGCTGTAAGCACAAGCAGTACTCTTGTAGGACCAGGTAAGGCTTCACGCTACCCAGTCTGAAGCTGTCCTAAGATTGTTATGCTTCACACTAACATCACGTATGATTAAAGACTCGCTCTAATCATTCAGCAGTCTGGTACTCAATTTCCTTACTCAGTTTCAAAGTCTCTAAAATACTTCAAAGATACTTACAGAACCCTGCAGTCCTGCTCGTGTCTTCTTTGGTAACCCAGATAGTTATTCATTTGTATTCAATTTCTACTGACAACTTGTATACTCATAGGAGTACACCAAAGATTACGAGCTGTATCGTAACAAGATGAGCCAAGCACACTGCTCAATTAGAAGTTGTCCAAAATTTTGGTAGTGAATTATTGCCAAGAGTGTTAACATCTTGTGTAGCTTTTTCATTCTTTTCATTTGTGAATCAACTTCTTGTCCATGCCCATGCATCCATCCCACCTGATGCACTTGAAGCCTTCAAAATGAATGGCAGAAAGCAGTGCAAACAATGTGATACTATAATTTCCCAGTCCAATCCTGCAGCATAACACCATGGTAAGGTCCAGAAAATGTCACTTGAAGATGATCAGCCAAAGAGAATGCAGTGAAAGTATCAAAAGCATAGATTCAATGTTGCACATATTTATCACTGAGTTTATCTAACACTCATTTAGTATTTTTACAGATACATGTGTACATGGATACATGAATACATGAACACATGAATACAGGGATACTTGATACATGTATATGTGTAATGTGTATATGTGAATACAAGGATACATGTATGCATGGATACAAGGATACATGAATACATGAATACAATAATACAAGTGTATGTGTATATGTAGATACAAGAATACAAGTATATGTGTATAGATGGATAAATGAATACAAGGATACATGTATATGCAGATACCTGAATACAAGGATACAAGAATATGTGTATATGTAAATATAGGAATACAGAACATGTGTATACATGTAACAAGCTTCCATAGCAAGAGGGTGAAACAATGAACAAGGGTGTAATCAAAGTATTGCCCATATCTATGTTAAAAACATGCTGCAAGCATATGTAAAGTATGAGCAAAGTGGGACTGAGTAAGAGATCTTTAGTCACTCCAAAAAATAGAGACCAAAGATGAATGACTTACACAAATATAATCATTTTCTTCTCAACTACAATTCTATTCTCAAGAATATCATACACTGCCTGGAACATGCTAGAGATGTAAGAAATCTCCAGGTGGTGACTGAAGATATCCTTGACACTCTGAGGAAGCTGACAGGGAAACTGTTCAGCACTGATGAGTGGCTGAGGTCAGTGCAGATTGACAAGTCTGCCAAGTCATCAAAACTGGTATTGTCAGCAAAGTTGATTGATAAATAAAACCTGAATGATAACCTTGCATGTGTCTCATCTGAAGTCAGGTCTGGGTCCAAAGAAGGATCCCTCGCCAGAGGCAAAAAATCAAGGAATTCATCATCCACAGAAATATCTGTGGGAGGTGGCAGTGATCCAGCCAATAACTGCATCTGGAAACAGACTAGCAAAGATACATCATGTTAGGATTGCTAAGCATTCATGGTTAGAAATGATACATTTCTTGACAAAGCCAAATGAGAGCAGTGTATATACCTATCCAATGTTTCACCACAAGGTACTCAAGTACGTGATTGTAATTTGTGTGTTTGACAGAATTCAAGGTTACAACAATGTCATGCCAGTACTTGTTATGTGGCCTCAAAAGCATTCTCCCATCACTTGTGTAAGGTGGCCTATATTTCATTACCTTTGATGACATCCTAAGAATGAAGACATATTAGAAAAATCAACAATACTCACTTGTGGAATTTGTGTTGCTTTTGCAATCAGCCTTTTGTCAGTGCTGCTCAACAGTTTCATGACATATTGGTCAAAGTGTTCCAGATCCTCCAGATTCATGTATTTAACCCTCAGCAACCATAAATAGGCATATAAATCACACAAACTGTTCTGTTGGAACACAGAACTGAGCTTCATGATCCAAGCATTACATGTTTAATGTACCTGAGCAGATGTTGCTGTGATGATAACCATGAATTGTGTTGGTTGGAACACAGCAAGGCCTTTTGACTCTGGGTTCTGCATAAATAAGGTGACCCTCATCTGGAAACCAAAGATGTTAGCAAATGCATACATGTTTAAACCATCAAGTTTACTGCCAATTCTAGGTGATTTTGGAGTCACAACAGTACATGACTTTATGTACCTCAGGTTTCCTAAAAGCCCATATCTGTACCCATCAAAACCTGTACTTTTGGGTGTGTGTGTGGGTTCAATGGCTTGGCTCAGCTTATAAGCTGCTGAGCTGCTGAGCTGAGCTCTATTTTTAGCCAATTGAGCTGATAGAAACCTTGCAAGGGCAGTGCGAGTGTCAATGGATAGGAGGTTAGGAGGTTAGCGGTTAGGGTTTATTAATGGTTAGGGTTGGGGATATTTTTTCCCCGCGCGGTAGCGTGTTCTTGGTTAGAAGGTTAGGACGTAGCCAATGAATAGCATTCATTGAATTTGCCACCAAGAATAGAGGTTCATCATGCAATGTGCAAAGCTCTCTGTTGTTTGCTCCCCAATGGATCTCCTCCTACCCTGAAAAAGGTTTCTCACTAAAGCAAACTTGAATTTAAATTTACCAGAAACGTCTGATAGCTTGATGTCAAAAATCTATGAACA